GTTGCAATGGGATGGGAAAATACAGGCAAATACGATACCTTACGCATAACACAAATACACAATACAAACAATGCGTACTCAATACGACAGCATTGTGATCTAACACTACAAGTAAAAAATAACAACCGTATAGGTATCAAATAAATTACAAGAAAAACCTGTCACAATTACAAAAAAAAAAGATTAAAAAATGGCTTAATTTATAAATTACGTTATGATCTGAACGAAACATTTTTGTAAATATTTTGCAGATAATAATTTAAAACAAACCAGATAAAACAAAAAGTCTGTTTTCTCAGGTTTACGCAGTGAAAAATTAGTAGCAGAAACTACTAGAATGATGTATAACCTTCAATAAAGAAATCGTATCAATAATGAATAATGACCGACAGAAATAGATACAAGCCAACAATCACAACGACTCCTAATCTATGCAGATTCTCACCGGAGACGTTACACAACATCCTAAAGTGAAATCTCTATAGATAATTCACATCAGCACGCGATAATTTGTATTTGTGATGAACGTAACACCGGATGACTAGGCTAGTATTGGAAAAAATTAAACCTCATTGTTTATAATCAATCATAATCGATTCGGAACAATTAACTGATAAATACTATGTAACAGATAGTTTCTAATATATGCTGAATAACTAAAAAAACGATTTTAAGTTACTCTTGCAATATCGGAGATTAAATCACAACAAAAAAAACTTTCTAAATGTATAAAACAAGACCTGCAGTGAACGAGCCTAATTTTTTGCTTTATTCCCTTTTGTAAAAACAATATAAACGCAATAAAAATACACAATATTCGGACTAAATCTTATTATTTAAAATCAAACTCTCAGAAAATAAAATTTTAGAGGTTAACGATTGGCAATAGCTTAAAAAATCTAACATTTATAATGATTCAATATTGAATAATACAGAGACCTAAAAGTAACAAAACAATACACTTTGACCGTCAAAAGGTGTTAATAGACCAGGTATTGCTTAAGCTGACCTGATACTCGTATTTGCAAGGCTCGTAGAAAACTTTTTACCAAATTGCAATAACAATATTTGTTTTTCTGATGAATTGTTAGCAAGATTGATTATTTTTTCTGATACAAATGATTGTAAAGATACTGAGATTATGTTTAAAAAACAAAATAAGGTATAAAACAAGAACCAATCCACCTGTCTAAAGTTCTACAATACTTATTTAGTCATGATACGAGTCTTTCTTACTATATTTGTAAAGAAAGCAATTAGATTTAAAAGGCGTGACGTTTCAACAATCAATTAATCAGAAAGAACTTGACCCCGAAGTATCGCGTGACAACGTAACGCGTGGAACGGAACGCAACCCGCTTGGCGCCAAATCCGAAACAAAACAATAACGTTCGTGATACGAATTACGGTTAACGGTCACGATTGTACAACACATGTATAAACTGTTTTAAAACGTTATTATACGAAAGTATTTTAAATAATTATTCTGTGTTAAACGATTTATGACAGAATTGTTTGTAATTTGAGACAAAATGATGTAGGATTTTAAGAAATTGATTTTATAACGGATATAGTTGACATAAGATTCGTCGCTCTAAACATTAATTAGGTTGACAACTAATTTGATAAAGTGATTAATCAGCTATATTTTGTAACTAATTTTGATCGGCAAAACATCGATTAGAAACGGTGAGAATTACTTTCACAGCTGACTGGAGATTATTTATGTTGTTTCCACAGACGCAGAAAACCGGTAAAATTATTGTACAAATTACAGAAATGTTACAAAATATTGTATTTAACACGAATTGATATTAGCCCAACATTAACCGGTAGCTGTCACGGCCCAGATATGCCGTTGTTTTTTTTTTATCTGTGCATTTTAGTGCACAAGCGTAATAGACACGCAAGATAACCATTCACGTTTCGATGGTTCTGATGGAGACAACATGTACTATAAAATTTTAAACTAACAATAAGAACTTAATTAATTTAAAATTATCTGAATGGCTCAGTGCTGGCCATAGATTCTTCAAAAAAAAATTAAATTGGTGAAACAAGTACTCACAAGTGAGAGTTTTTTTTGACCGTTTATATAATAAAATTTTGTAGTAGTAAGTAACCAAATTAAATGTTTTTTTACTCAACAATTATTTACTTGTCCCAAATATTCCGCGATGTTTATTTCTCGACATCATTCATCAACTTGCAACGTAATAAAGTCACATTTAAAAACCGGATTCGAAACGTAAAACTTTTTCTGGGAGATATAAAAAAAATGGCTACATCATTATTTATGGCACCGACATTATGCAACGATATTTTCTCTTCACGTCCACATACGCAACGCGAAAAATATTAAATGTCCCGCAGCTACTTGCATAATAATTAAAAGCTCGTAAAACAAGCATGGACATAGCAATCACTTTTATTTTTAATCATAACCTTAAAGTTTATGCTATCTATACTTCTATACTAATATTATAAATGCAACAGTTTAGATGGATGGATACAGTTTGTAGCCTAAACGGCTGAACGGATTTGTATAAAATTTGGTATTGAATATAAATGTAGAGGATAGTTTGGAAGAACACATAGGCTACACACTTTTATTTTTTTAATTGCACGCGGACGGAGTCGCGGGCGAAATGTGGTTTAAGAAATAATTTGAAACAAGATAATATTTAACATATCAGTTAGGGATTTGTAACCACGATCTCAAACTTAAAAGCTATCGAGGAATTTAAAATACGTATGATTTACGAGATCCGCTGCTAGTTTCCGCCTAAAAAAACTGTATCCTACTCAAGCCCGAAAATAGACTTTGTAACTCATTTTTTAAATGTTTATTACATCGTTTTAAACTCTACAAAAAGATCTTTTAATAAATTGTATGAATTAGCAAAAGGTTAAAGTCTGCTAGATGCTGAATCATTCATTTTGGGTGAGGCTTGAGTTAAGGACAGTGAACGGTATGATGAAATAGCTAACATAAAACTAACATGTTTTAGCGTAGAAATACCAAAATACGACACCATACGGTTATCTTTCTGATGCCTTTGTACTTATTTTCATGTTAAAAATAGTCACTACTTTTCACTCTTTAATTTTGAATTAGAATAGTAGAGAAGGAAACATTAATTAGACATCATTAACATTCCCAAAAATGTAACACGTAACATCCCGTCACATTGTTCAAAACACATTTGTTCAACATGTTACATATACGTGATGTAACTGTTCACTTAATTAAGTCTTGCCGGCCGCAAGTTGACGTCGCCTTACTCATGATATAGTAACCTGTCTTGCGACCCACATCCCAGCACACCTGACTTGACACACCCAATATCGGCTTCCTTACGCGATAACATTTCTATCTTCGATTACACAAAAAAAATCTTCCACAGGTTTTCTTACGGGTATATACCAATTTTATAAAGAGGAAAGATTTGTATTTTTGTACGTATTGAAATAACTCAAAAACTACTGGGACGATATCAAAAATTCTTTCACCGTTAGAAAGGTAATTTATCTGTGACTAAAAAAAGAATAATAAAAAAATGAAAAAATGTAACATAGGTCATATTTTTTTCATTTCTTTTCATATTTTTAAATTACACGCGGACGGCCGCGTGACATTTAAAAATGATTCCGTAGTCGCAGGCAAAAACTAGTTTCAATATAAAATGTTGCAAATCAATTTCTAGATCCCACCAAGAGTCTTAAAAGAACCAAAGTCGATTCAGCCACTAATTTAGGGAGATGTCATGCTCAATATTGAGGAAACGGTTTACTTTAAAAACAAAACCAAAACCAGTCTACATTGTTGTCTCCAGTCAACTTTTTGCTGTGACACGTGAAAAGGCAGTCCAAACCGTTCACTCCCTGCACGGATAAGTGCATACAGCGTGGAGCAAGTTCTTCAATCGTCAAATTAAATCGGTTGCAACCGCATTCGTTACGTAACAGCCCTACACGTGAGGTGCAAGACAACGTTTATTTTTGAGAAATTGCCAACATTATGTAACGTAGTGTATTGATGGCTACTGTAATTGCATTCAACATAAGTGCATATTCTGGTAAAAGTCCAATCATGATGGTCTCATAATTACTTTAAAATATCTATTGAAATGACTAGTTAATATCTTTTGTTCCGTTTAATTTTCTGTTTTATTATTTACTAGCTTTAACCCGCGACTCTGTCCACGTGAAATTTAAAAGTAATAAAAACATATAGCCTATGTTACTCACAGATAAGTTACCTTTCTAACGGTGGAAGAATTTTTAAAATCGACCCAGTAGTTTTTGAGCCTATTCATTACAATCAAACAAAGATTTCTCTTTATAATATAAGATGGTATAAACAATATATGTTTTACTGCAGTTGTAATTGAGCGAAAAAGTAAGAAAATGTCAACTACGATCAATTAATTTTTTTTTAACAATCGCTTTTAATGTTATGTGTTTTTAAAGTTAATAAATAAAAATAGCGAGTAGTATGTGTGGAATTATTGTTTCTAGAACACTCGCACAACACGTACTTCTGTGTGGGATTTGCGAGTAATTGCGAACATTCCAGAGGTCTAAATAACATGTCATAATTTAGAGGTGGTTAGACGTAATTTTACGAAGGTATTCTGACAGATTGATTATGTGCATTCAGTGAGACCGTCTTCATTACCGACGTATGTAGGTAATATGTTCTGTTCTCAACGTTACTAAAATCTATGATAATGTTATAAAGAGAAAAGATTTGTATTTCTGTATGTATTAAAAAAACTCAAAAAAACAGTAGGCCGATTTCAAAAATTCTTTCACCATTAAAAAGCTACGTTATCAGTGAGTAAGACTGGCTATATTTTTTAATTTCACGCGATATCGCGAGCAACAGCTATGACTTAAAAGTTTCAATTTTATTAGCCTAGTTACGGTTTATCTCAACTGTTTTTAGCTTGCAGCTTTATGTAAGGATTGGTGTAATATATTCTATTATATTCCAGATGGTGTGTATTGTTGGGCGCGGTGCTGGTACTCGCCGCGGCTGCCTCCGAGGAAAGCGAGGATGGTGTGCCTGACGCAGGAGTCGACGGTGACGAGGAACTGGCTTTAAATGAAGAGGTTCACATTTTTTTAAACTTTAAGTCATTTATAGAGAAAACAACCATGTGTCTATTAAACCTAATTGGTGTAAGACATCTGTTGTTGCTTTTAATGTGTTTTTAGTGTTATATTGCGACGCATATAATGTTAGAAAGATTTACAGCAAAAAGATTCTCATGCAAACAATTGCCTTGTCACAACAGCCAGGACAGAAATATTAATATTAAAGATGTATTTGAAATATCCATTGACTTTCTCCTTTTAGTTAATCTAAAATCTGTTAAACGATACGCATAAGATTAAACCAATCGAAAGTGACTGAACGCACGTCCGTCTAACGCTAACATCGAATACTAATTTATCTCTTTACAATCTCTTTTGAATGCTTTGTATTCTTATCTATATTACATCTTACTGTAATCAATTTAAACAATTTTCTAAATCAAGAAAGAATTATATTACAGTGCTACGTGAGTTGATCATACTCGTATGTCTTTGTAAAAGACATCGACGCGTTTTGTAAATTTTTCTTTCAGTTTTTTATCTCGAAGATATATGAATTATGAATTTAAAACTAAAGCTTTAAGTACGTAAACCAATGTTGTTATTATACCCATAATAGAATTGTCAAAATAAATACTCTGTTTTCTTGTTCGTATCTCATTTTAGGATTAAAATTTTATAACATACAAATGCACTATAAAATAACTAAATAAGTTATGACATGTTTCGTTACTAGTGATTAAGCGCATAGACAGGCGTTATAGCTTAGCGTGGATATCTCTGTTAGTAATTTAGTTAATAAGCAGTACACATATTTACTGATACTAATCGTAATTAGATTGATTTTGTGTCTCATAAGAATCTACTTCCAGCTTATACGACTTATAAAAAATTCAACAATGATCCGACGGTTTTTAAATTATATTTACTACTGGGAAATTGACAATGTATTGAATAGACAACGAATTTGTCCAAAGGCTTAAATAACAATTTGATTAACAATCCTTTACGCAGAAATTAACCGATTCGATTATAAATTCTCTTTGTTAATATAAAGAGTATTGCATAATAACTTCAATAGAGTTAAGTGTTAAAGTAAATACATTTGTAAGTTAACATGTACACAGAGTTGTCCATTAGTATTGTGCAAACCGCCTATGTCAATATTGTCTAAGGAAAAGTTTATCTTGAAGCGTAAAATTAAAAAAAAAAAACAAAAGTATAGCCTATTCCAGACAATGCTCTATGTCTATTTCAAATTGTATCTAGGGAATTTTTACTAATATTTCTTGTACATTTCCGACATTCTAAGCTTGTGCTAGGATATCGTTTACGACAGTAGTCCAATAGCGGAATACAAACCCTCGATCACGTGATTTGAAATATAATACGACTAACCATTAGTCTATTGGCGTTTCAATATTGCAATGTTCATTTGATACTAGCGAATATGTTACATATTTTTGACATCAAAAACTGAAATTAAATCGTCTTCATTGAACCGTGCTCGCGGACGAAAAGTAATTTAATAGCCGTATCAAAATAAAACCGAAAGTAATTACAATCATGTCACTTTCTAAACTGAATCTATAGTAAACATATTGAAGTTCCGCGGAGCGTCAAATTATCGCAAAAACAAGTGCAACAAAAGAAATGCACTTTCGACTTTCACTGACGCCAGCTCGGCCGACGACCGCTAGTGGGCGCCACAGACATCAAAACTAGCTCGATATTTTAATTACTAACTAAAATCACTTATATACATTCCAATTTAGATTAGATCTTTATTTACAAGGTTACGCTGTTATAAAGTATGTCAATTTGATGGTATCTAACCTTCGATATGTAAGTATGACTGAGAAAACCCTTATAGTATTATCACGCAATTTCTAAATCTAACTGTTCTTTTAATAGTCGATCACTTATTTAAAACTAGTTTTCGCCCGCGACTCCGTCCGCGTGGAATTGAAAGAAACCAAAGTGAATAGCCTATGTGGTATGTTCTTCCAGACCATCCACTACATCTATGCCAAATATCATCGCAATCCGTTCAGCGGTTTAGGCTACAAACTACAACAAACATCCATCCATCTAAACTTTCACATTTATAATATTAGTAAGCAGTAATTTAACCAGTAGTTAACACTAGTAACTGATAAATCTAATTAATAAAAGTAATTGTGATTTATTTTTTTAATTTGCAAAAATTAAACGCAGCAAGTGTAACAGGCCTGCATTTTTTAACAGTTGCCAATATAAATGAGGTAATATTATGTCGTCTTACATTACAATGGAATGAGATTCTAACAAAAAGGTTGAATAACATTGTAACGCACGAACGCACTTTGAGTTTTTTTTTAAACTTGTTAAACGCATTCGTAATGCGAAAGCGGTTACGGACATCGGAAATTAGTTTTTTAGATATTAAAGAATGCTAATAAATTACAATTCAAGATTAAACAGGACTAAGTAATCTTCGAATATAAAGAGATAGTCGTTACATGTACTCCATATATTTTGCAATGCCAAAAAAACGGTAGTTTTTCAAATCGTAGATTTTTTTATTTCGTAACACGATCGAAGGAAAATTACTCTTTATCTTTCTTATAGCTCGGATGTCAAACTTAAGGGCTTAACTTTGGCTATTAAAATTAGTTATAAAAAACAATTAGGGCATTTCCCACCACTGTCTGATAGAAGCTAAGATTAAAAAATGACGTCACTGTCAGATAAGGCAACAACATCCGATATTTCCATCACAATTTTACACGTTGGATTGTTATCAGACAATTTACAATTTGGTGGGACAGGCCCTTAGTCTTGTGTCATATGCATGCATTCAATAATAAACTTGAGCGACAGCACGTGGGCTAACACTGACACCCACTAGCGTCTGTCATTCTCAAGGTGAAATGTAATTAGGCAATAAGATTGAACACTATCGTGACTCTTAATACGATGCCTAGGCTATATCATTGCTGCAATTTTATATATAATCGAAAGCATTATTTAAAGGTCCTTATTGTAATACAAGGCTACGGCTTAAAGTATTGCGAAAACATAATCTAAATGTGGTTTAAAAGAGTTCAACAATATCAACTTGGACATTATTTCAATTCAAAACAATTACCAGCTAAGATATCCTTAATCCTTTTTATTTTAGCTAATAATATTACAAAAACATAATTGTTATTATCGTAAAAATAAATAGGTACAATCTCGGCAGAATTCATATTAATATAATTTATGGTAATTGTTAGGAAACAAGAAATCTCCGTCCGCGAGCGTATACTCCGGCAGCTTTCTCCAATGCGTTACCGAGCGGGTTCCGGCCGACGCCGTCGCTGGCTGAGCTGGCTGGCTACCAACAGCGGCCGCAAGAGCAGCAGGAGTACGTCGTGGTACCCACCAGGCAATACGAGGATCAACGACCACAGCAAAGAGCGCCGCATAGAAAAGTAAGTGAACAATTAATCGATTACTTTGATTAATTAATTATTGGCTTAAATATATATGGCCTAGTCACCCCGTATTAGGGTAGGCTCCGAGCCCCTCGGTGGGGACATATAGTGAGCTGGTGATGATGATGATGATGAATTAATTATTTCATTTGTTATAATTGAATAGTAAAGTGCAACAATCATAATTTTGAATTTCAACGTTCGATATCTTCACTTGCTTCAATTATTGTCACGCAATAGTTTGAAGAATTTCAACTCAAATTATTTTCAAATCATATAAAAGTTGTTGAATAAATAAAGTCAATTTCGTTTACAATAACAGATTGACAAATAATCGATAAACTTTCACTGAAATTGAATTAGCGGTAGTCGGAAGAAATTGTGAATAGCCGTGGTAATTTTTAATAGATGTTTTTATGCTCGCATTTAATTAAGAGTGGTAAACAATAGCGGCACGATCCGTTCACATGAACTCGCATTAACACGCGACTTTGATACTTTTCTTGTCGGTTTCTGTTTACAAATATAACTGGCTGTTACAAATAAAACGTTCTGTTTCTATTGTTCAAATGTTGGAAAAGAAATTTAAATTCATTGAACGGAATTAATTCAAGTGAAATCTAACATCAACAAAAAGAATAAAAACCAAATAAAATTGAATGACAGTGAAATGTACAGTTTTTGGGAACAAAAAAAAGCTTCGTAGTTAACTGTTTTGGTTATTTTGTAGTTTGTTCAATACAGACGAATTGAGTATCTCCTTCTTTTGGGAAGTCGGTCAAAAATAAAAATAAAGCAAGAGAAATAACAGAATCAATCTTAACATGTTACAGCCACAAGACCAACGTCCAGTTAAACTGCAGCAGCAACAGATCCAGGAAACAATAGAAGAGGAAGAAGAAGAAGAGAAAGAGGAACCAGACCGTCTGTCGCAGCTGCTGCAGCAGTCCAAGTTCAACTGCGTCAGCAAACAGACCGGCTACTACGCGGATGAGGAGCTCAACTGCGAGGTCTTCCACTACTGCCAGGATAATGTCAAGCACTCTTGGATCTGTCCTGAAGGATTCAGCTTCCACCAGGTTAGTTAACTTGCTCGAAAGCTTAGATGGATGGATGGATGTTAGTTTGTAACCTAAACTGCTAAACGGATCTCGATGTAAGGGATACATTTGTAGGACAGTCAAGAATACATAGGTACCTGACTAATTTTTTTAATTCCACGCACACTGAGTCGCGGTTGAAAGCTAGTTATAAATTATAATTATTTAAATTTTATTATAGCACTCTATACGATAGATAAAGCATCTGGTAAACAAATAAACAGACAAAAAACCAATATTCATAATTCAAAATCAATAACTCCGACTTCATGACACGCTGGAGTTAACACGAAAAGAATGAGAACAAGGTTTACACACATACATCTCCAGAAAACAAACTGATAAGGTAAATTTTAAATTTTCATCGATGTGTTACTATGCAGGTGCACCTGATCTGCATGCCGGCGACGCAGGAGAACATCTGCCAGAGGTCATCGAAGTACCACTTCGTGAACGACTACCTGTACCGGCCCATCAACCAGGAGGAGGTGCAGCGCAAACCCAACGTCTCCCTCAAGTACTCCGACAGGTTTTACCCCGCGGAGGTCTACAGGGACGACAGATATGAACAGGAAGAAGAAGAGGAAGAGGTTTGTTTATATAAAAGAAAACATCTATTATTGCTTTTCAATCAATTTACGGTCAATACATGCCTAAATACTAAAAACTTAATTTATCTAATCAGGTTTTATTTCGTTTGAAGTATCGACAACTGACCAAATATACAAACAAAAAAATGGGCTTATACAATGCAAGTGATTGTCAGTGAACTGTGTAATAATAGGTAGAATTTGGTACTATTAATGGACAAGTCATTTGCTGTGATAGTCTCTTTTGCATCTAAATTCAAAGATCAGTATCCATTCAAGTAAAGGTCAGTGTAGTCTATGGTAATCCATCTATCTATCTATCTAGTCTATCTTAGGTTAGGCTCCTTCAGTGCGTATTGATGATAACTGCTTGCTTGTTATAGGATGATCGTCGCACAGCCGCGCCTCAGCCTCAGCGTGCGGTACCTCGCCCGCAGCAGCCCCAGGTGTTCCGTGCCCCCGAGGAGGTGAACATCCCGCTGGTACAGCGCCGCCCGCAGCGCCCTTATGAATTTGACTTCTAAACTTCTAACAAATGTTAAGTGAAACTGGATTTTAACCAGAAATATTAGCGCCTGATTAAATAAAACAGCAATATCAAAAAGACATAACCTTGAATATTTTAGCTGCAGTTTAAAACGCATTTCATGTTCTTTATAATCTGTCACTTGATTTAAATATGGCGGCGACCTTTCAACGTTACCGGTGCTATTTATAAAAATTTAATTTTAACACAGAGTTGATTACTTGATAATTAAGATTAAACGTTATTTATCTGTACAATAAAATAATCATTCGTTTTAAGTTACAAATTAGTTGTAAGCTAGTCTTCGATGTAATGTTAGGATAAATAAAAGACAATTCTAGTACGATTTTGTTTTATTTATTGTTGCTGTCATTTGAATCAGAAATATCGTAAACAATGCATTAATTTTGTGGTCAATAACGGTTACAGACTATATAACAGAGTGACATGTGCGACCGATGGGGCCTTTGCCGTCGGTGGTGTTTGCTCCGAATTTCGCAATACACTCCTTTTCGGTGCACTCACAGGTCTCTTCTGGACCGGGACGTCTCCCTCGGTACTTGGAACTATCTGTTTCTGGGAACAAAAATACACATAATATGTAGCTACGCAACGCTTAATAATAATAATATAGATTTACTCATTTTTTGTAATAATACACTTACCATTATCAAAACATGCACAAGCTCTATTCGTCTGCTTGGCGCTGGAAACAAAAAAATGTTGATTTTGTAAACTTGAAATTCTTATAGCACGTGAGATTAAATATGTCATAAACCCGTGGAAAGAGACAACAATAGTAAAGGCTGCATCGAGGATTATCTAACCGTCTCTAGTTGCAATTTAAACTCAAATGGTACAAAGATTTTGTATGGTAAATACTTACGATGCGACTCTAGATGATGCTGCCGAGGCCGTCCGAGCGCTGTCTGATCGCTTGTCCAGACCTAAATTAAATTCAAACATCAAACACAACAGGGACTCACTCTTACATAAGATCTTTCGCCAAACGAAAAATCGCCTATCATGTTATCGTCAGTATATTATAATATTCAGGAAAAAGTAAATCTTACCTTTATCTTCACTCTCATCTCGTGAATGTTTATCACTCTTTACACTACGTTTCGAGTGATCGGATCCGGCAGACGTCCGGCTCGGCATAGTCGTTCGAGACGGATGCGCTGAAGCGTTGGCGACCGCGACAGCTCCACCTCCACACGGTTGTCTGAGTTCCGATGTCTGTCTGGAGCCGAGTTCTGGCGTCCGTCGAACTTCGGAGGTTAGTTTCGGTTCACCTCTAGATGTGTATTTGGAAGCGTCCTTAGTAGTCCGTCGTTGTTCTTTCATACGTCTCGGTTCCTCGACAGGTTTTTTCTTGGATTCGGGCTCCCATTTGGATTCATCTCCAGGTACTTTTTTGACTTCACGTTTACGTTCGTCCTCAGATATTTGTTTAGTTTTCGATTTATGTCGTTTACTTTCAAACAATTTTTTGAACTCAGAGCTGCGAGGTTGAGGTTCAGAAACACCCCCAGTCTTGAGCTCCAGTGATAGTTTGGGTTCACAGATTGGTTTAGTTTCCTTCTTAGCTGTTCTTCTGTATCCAAATGTTCGTTTAGATTCATTTTTAGGTACCGGTTTTCGTTCAACTGTTGGTTTGGATTCGCCTTTGTTTACATCTCCAAGTTTTGGCTCATTTTCAGCTCCGTTAAGCTGTTTGGACACGAGATCATGTGTTTGACTGACTGATCTGGGTTCAACATCTGCCATTTTTGTGGGTTCAGTTGTCTGCCCAGGCGCATGTTCAGATGTTGGTGTGATTTTGCAGGGTTTAGGATCATCTTCAGATTTAAGTTCAATCAACCGACTACTTTCGATGTCAGATGAAGTTGGCGCATCATCAGATTTACCGGATTCATTTTCGGGCTTTCGCTTGGATTCGGGCATCCGTTTGGATTGAGATCCAGTTGCCAATCTAGGATCATCCAAAGACATTCGTCTGGGTTCGAAAATCCGTCGTAGCTCAGGTTCAGATATCCGTTTGGGTTCATCTTGCAATATTTTCTTAGGTTCGGATAGTAGTTCTGGTTCGGATGTTCTTGCAGGTTTACATTCGTATAGAGATGTTACTTGTTTCGCTTCTGGTTTAAAAGGCCGTTTCGGGTCGTCGTCGCATTCTTTGTGTCTTAAAGCAATCTCTGAAGGCGTCGATTCACATTCTTGTATTCGTTTCGATTTAGGTCTCGGTTTGAGTTCAACCATTCGTTTCGTTGGTGAATACGACGGCATTGGATCTTCTTCGCATAAATGTTTGAGTTTAAATGACCGTATTTTATTGTATGCCCGATTGAGTTCTGATTCTGTAGGCTGTATGGCTTCAGAATCACAAGATGGTCTGCGACCGGGTTCCCGTTTACCGGGTAATATTGAAGATATCCAGCTGCTGCCTGGCTGTCCCTTTGTGGAAGTTAGTGAATCTGGAGTTAAATGAAAAGGTTAAGACTAATTAAAAATAACATTTATCTCTCTGTCTTATATTACGGTAGAATCTGCAGCAAAACAAAGAAAAAAACACCTTAATAAAACGGAATCTAACTTACGATTTTAACTTAACTAAACGATTTGCGTTCGATTAAGTAGAATTTTACCTGATCGTAGCAACGTTTCTGGCCCCTCTTTATGAGTTTCTATTCCAAGAATTTCTTCAAGTTCTTCGATTTCCTCTTTTTCTGTCAACTTCTTTCTTCGTACAACGGGCCGATCGAGTACTATAGTTTTTGGTATATCAAATTCAGGAAGATTGTCCTTTTGCATTTTCGTTTTCATTCCCATTCCCATTCCAAACTTCAAACTCTTTTTCTAAAAGTAAAAAGTTGACTATATTACGAAATAAATTCAAAATCGTGTTAGTCATTTAAATTATTTACTTACAGACGCGGATTTCGGTATCGATATATCATTTGTTTTTAAATTAAGCAAACGCTGCATTTTCTTCTCTAATTTGTTATCCTTTATATATTTTTCAATCAGTTTTCTCTTCTGTGCATAGAAACTGGATAGATGAAAAAATAGTTCAGATTTTAATACACATATTAGAGTCTCTAGATGTGTTAGAAGACCTCGGGACGTGGTTTTGTGATAAATTCCAGTATTGTTATTTGCATTACAATTAATTTACAAAACTAAATACATATAAACCACTCTTCTTAGTTGTTTACTTGAAACATACTCATACTAATATTATAAATGCGCAAGTTCAGATGTATGGATGTTTGTTAGAATTTGTAGCCTAAACTTCTGAACTGATCTCGATGAAATTTGGCATAGATACAGGATAGTTGGTCATGATATTTTTATGATGGTTCTGTGAAGACCTTATGGTGAAAAGATAGTTCATTTGTGTTATTACCTCATTATAAGTTTAAATGTCAGATAAATTAGGTTATGCTCAAAAGTACATGTCAGAATACCTCAATTCGCTGTTATTAAACTGTCAATTGAAAAATTAAATATTAAAAACTTCATACGTACCCGCTCTCTTTGACCGGGGTTAGGAAGGCCGGGCAGTGAGACGTGCAGAATTCCGGCCCTCTGCCCTTCACTGTTAAATCGATAAACTGTTAAATGTTTTTTATTTGAACACATAAAATAAAGGCAAAAGAAAAAAGTTACATAGTGTCACCACACACCCACAGCTCTACCTGATGGCCAATCCTTAGGTGTTGGGCCGAATTTGGCTATCATTTGCCTCTACTTTTCTCGATTCCCAGATTGACACAATAGTTTATGAGTGTATACTCACGCTGTCCGCATTCCGCCAGCTGTTTGGAGATCTCAACCTCCGCCTCGACGGCCGCCGCCAGCCGCGGGATCAGCGTACCATCTGGGTTTTTGGTCGCTTTTCTATACGTATCCACAGGTATGGCTGAAAACACGAACAATATTTTAGAGATCAAATTCGTTATCCAGAATGGTATAAATGGAATTATTAAAATTACAATGTTATATAATAAATAGACATTCAATAAGAAAATGTATTACACTCTGGTAAATTTCCTTGTTTGAGCAGATGCGAAGTGCAAATGCAAGGTTCGACGGGGCAGTAGCACTGCTTGGGTAGCGGCGCCGTGTGCCACTCGATATCCAAGCACGGGTTGCCCAGAACGCTCTAGAACGATTAGAAAACTGTCTGTAGTTTGTACTTTCGGTTTATAATTTGCCTAGGATCGTAGACTCGGCAAATTGAAAATCGAATGAATTTACAGGTTAGAACGTTGGTGGCGACGACTAACATTCTTGGCTGATGTGCATTTATGCTAAGTTTTTCTTGTGTTTCTTTATTTATTGTGTTCTTACCTCTCTTGGATTATATCGACTTTCAACGACTCTGTAACGCCTCGCCTGTTTCTTTAGTTTTTCAATAACTCGGTCAGAATTGTCAATGAAATGCCTCTCATACTTTCTATCTTCGCAGTCGTCCGACATTTTAATGCATAAACGAGGTCCTAAAAACATTGTTATTACAAATAATAAGTAAAAAGTGTTAATAAACACAGATAAAACCACATGCGCCACAGATCTAATTTAAAGTAATCGACGCAGATATAATGTGAAGACCTCTTCTAAAGGAACCCTCCAGTGTAAACTAAATAAACTAACTTAAGAAAGGATTCTTTTAAAGCTTTAAGTCAAGGCAAGTCAGGGAATCGAGGGTTGTTTAAGTTGAGGTATATAAGTTACAATAGGTTCCATTACGAAAAGTTTTCGATACTTGGTAATGTTTGTCTAAATGTGATATTACGTACTACATACCCTTCCTATTTTATTTCAAAGTATTGTTAAATCTACTGTAACTAATTATAAAGCTTCATTTTACTGTAATAAATTCCATTAAGCTATGGATATCAAGGCTATGGATTTAGAGGCGAAAATTTCGTTTCAATTTTCACTTGACTTGCATTTTAGGCTTGAAAATTTTGCGGGCTATTTACATTTCTATCCGAGTATTTCATAATAACAGTTTTACATTTTCAAATTAGCACAAATGACAGCTGCCAGAAGTCAAAAACTGAAGGATGCTTATCCACAGGTTATAATATAGAACTTATCACGTGATGAAGAATATTGGTAGGTCCGTTTCGTGCGTTGGTAAGTTGGGTCAGACCTTGGATCCAGTGGTGCGTCGCGGTGGCAAGCGAAAGTGATCCCGTAGCGCCCCACACAATGGCCAGGAGAGAACGGAGGGGTTTAGTGGGTATGCCCCATTGTGGTGAGAGTCCCACGTAACTCTCGTGCCTGCCCCAAGGCACGGAGTATGCGTAAAGCATTCCCCTTCGGCAAAAAAAAAAAACTTGGATCGAGCAGTAGGTGATTTCGAGCTGATTAATCATCAGCGATCAGCGAACTAGCAAAGAATATCAAAATCAGATGAAGCGAGAAGGTACTAATAACAGCCCTCTAGAGAATTGAGTAATACTACTCCGAATAACGCCATATTAATACTAGCTACCCCTTTAAACATAGATTAGATCTTCGATTTGCGACGCCTAAAATTGCTTCATAGCAGAAACCTTTAAAATCAAAAAGCGAGCCCACAATTTCCTAAAAGGCAGACAACGCATCTGTAGTTCCTCTGGTTTGCGGATATCCATGGGCGTCGTTGACCACCTCTGTGTTCCCGCCGCTCGTTTGTCCCCTTCTCTTATTAAAAAAATTCTAACTACCTTCCTTCCTCCATTATTTTAATATCTACATTTCATGATAAGCAAGTTACAAATGCGAGAACGAAACTACGAAACTGTTAATTCATAAATATTTATTTATTTATTTACAAAATTTTGTTTTATATCATTATTCTAAAAATTTAATAATTTCCATTAAGTGTTAAGTGTTATTAGCGTCGGCATTGTTTCTATTTGTATTTCCTCAGCCCTCAGCAAACAGCTTAAAATTGCTTTTTATTATTATGCTCACAAGCCTTTTGTCATTTTTTGTCATCAATCTTTTCGTGTCTATTAAAAATTCTGGAAAGTATAATAAAAAATAAATAGGAAACCAAGACTCCTAAACAAGGGATCATAAATCTTTGAAATTGTGGCATGTTGCAAATCGAAGCAACTTTTTTATATAGCGACTGATGAAAGCGACAAAAGAACAAATTGTTGTCGATCCGTGTCTGTGCAAAAATTTCTATCATGGTTTCGAAGATTTACTTCGCCTATACGTAGGGCCTTCACATATTAATTTCAAATATTACTTTTTGATGCAACCGTAAATTCTTGAGACTAAAGTTTACTAACATTCATGGTTCACCGTCCTTATCTTTCTTCTTAAATATTTTTGATCCAAATTTAAAGTTACTTAAATTGATCTTCGGTTCATCTTTACACTCATCTCTCTCCTGAAAATTAAACTCTATTAGATTGGCGTCATGTGTCAAGTGTGCCAACATCGCTGGATAAAGTTTTCTTCACAATAGGGGTCTTAAAGAGCCAATGTAAATTAAAACAATAAAAGAGCACATACAAGTGCAAGCACAATTCTCATTGACAATTTTATTACCACTGGTATAAAAGTCGATTTCGGTTACAGCGACGCTGAAGGAACGTCCATAAAACCTTCGCTAATTTCCTATGTCCTAAATCAAAAAGAATATTAGCTGTAACGTTTTACCGTCACCCAACTGTGTGTAACCTTAAAATTAATATATCAGTCCGTTGCCTACTGAGTTGTTATTCGGATTATGTAGTTACAATGCCTATTCGAAAAATAGAACCTTTTACGTTAAGTACAAAACAGTGGCCGGCTTACAGACGTCGCGAAAATCAATACATTTTGTTAAACGAAATACGCGATGACTTGAAGGTATCTACTTTAATATCGTTCGAGGGTAAAGAATCATATGCTTTAATGTGGGATCTGTGTGCATCGTTCCGGAAGATACGACGTACGAGTAACTAGTACAGCTTGTGACAGAGTACTTGGAGCCGCAGCGGTCCGAGATACGCCGAGCGGCACGTCTTCCGGCTGCGGCGCCGGCGACCGGGCGAGTCGCTCAAAGATTACTTACAAGCATTGAAACATCTGGCGGCCACATGCAACTTCGGCCAATGCAGTATTTGCGCGAAGAGAACCATCGAAGAGAACCTGCGGGACCAGTTGGTGTCGGGTCTGGCGAGTGACGCGATGCGGGCGAGAATTTTCGCTGAAAAGAAAATTCAGTACAAGGAGGCATTGGAGCTTGCGCTAGCTTTGGAAGTGGTGGAGCGGCATGCCGAGGTTAGTGGCAATACGGAAGCCTCAGTGACGGACTCATCTTAGGCGGCGGGCGGCCGGCTCGGCAGCACGGGAGAAGCGCGCGGGACGCGGGGAGCTCACTCACTAAGGCCAGCCCGGGCGGGGAGCTCAGAGGGAGACGCGGCGAGCGGTGCGGGCGGATTGACAGCGGGGCCGAGTGGAGCGAAAATGTGGACGAGTGGAGCGGCATCAGGGTCGAGCGCCTTACGGTACTTAATTATTATAGATGCACACTCTAAACGAATACGATACCGATGCGTAACACTTTTCGGACTCCCATCGCAGCTCGTGACGGATAACGAGTCGCCAGTTTTCTTTAAAGTGACTTTAAAGTATTAAACTTTATAAAAAACCACCTCGGCCTCTCATCGACCACAGGCGAACCTGCGGAGAATGCTGTTAAAACTATTCAAAAGACCTACAAGAGGGCAAGGTTCTAAACACTGCATTGACCAAATTTTTGCTCAAATATCGTATTTAGATGTCGCCGTCTAGATGCGCTGCGGCCGGACACGTGCGCGACAAACAGGAAAAGCAGGTGGCGTCGCGGCCCAGCTAAGAGGTCATGGGGGAGGCGATACTCGCGCGCGTTTATTTTTCTAAGTAAAACAAATGTGCCGAGGCCAGGGTGGTCAAAAGTAGCTACAGCCAAAGGCCGGTTCTCGCTTTCCACAATTTGCACCGCGACCGTAACGGCCGAATTGTCCAAGGTCTATGCGGTGCCAGGGGAGGAGACGTCCAGCGGTGGCGAGTCTTATCACCGCTGATGTTGGCTCGAGCAAAGCGGACTTTTAAACGACCTAATTTTAACTTGTAATCTTCATGTAATATCTATACTAATGTAATAAAGAGTAAACACACTTCTTTGTGGTGTAAGATGTCAGCAATTACAGCATATTTTCAAATAATCCTTTTTTTAATTAAAAGCCCTGCACCTACGTCACGCTTTAAAAATTAGATAAAAACCCCATAGTGGGAAAGAGACCATAAGCTACGGGCTACCAACATCAAGGAAGCAAGTTGTCATTTATGCATTTGAATTTTGACATTTGACAAATGTAAACAATGAAATTTAAAAAATATAATTTCATGCGGATGAAGCCGCACGGGAACAGCTAGTATTTAATAAAACTGGATTTTATTAGTTTAAAGGATGTATTATAAATTTAGTGGTGGAGGGATGTAATGTATAGCAGCTACCGAACTGTGGGTAACCTTAAAATTAATAAATCAGTCCGTCGCCTATCGAGTTGTGCGATTGACATCCCGATAACTTGATAAGAACTTGTAAAACGTTCTACCTTATCTCCTTCCTCTATATCCTTCGCGAGCTGCTGCTGGTACTTGGCAATGCGCCTCATTCTGCGCTTTTTAAGTGTATAAGAGTACTCGTCCAATCTCAATTTTTCCTCCAGATGTCTGAATGTAAATAATTTATTGTTTTAAAAAACATTGCAAATTAATACTATTTTATCTTTATTTAAATTACTAGTTTCCGCCCGCGACTCTGTCCGCGTGGAGTAAAAAAAAAACAAAATTAAGTAGCCTATGTGTTCTTCCAGACTATCCTCTATGTCTATACCAAATTTAATCACAATCCATTTAGCCGTTTAGGCTACAAACTCTAACAAACATCCATCCATCCATCCATCCATCTAAACTTTCGCATTTATAATATTAGTGTGAAGTATGAAGTATGATTATTTTGTACTAAAATTACATTTTAACATTGATTAGCGTACAAGCGTGTCCTGAAGCAAATTTTTAACTCTTATAGTTTGTCTAATATAGATTAGTTTGATAAATGACGCATATGAAGTATCGAATTCAATTTGTGTGAAGGCAAATGCCATACTTAATAGACAGGTATCGTAGTGACGAACAAACACACATAGCGAACAATTTTAAATTATCGATATTCGGTTTTAATAATTATCAAACTCAACTAAAATTATTATTTTCTTATTCACTAATTTAGAGGACAATTCTAGTATTGATTATAGTGTAGAGAATTTAGCGATGACAGAAATAATAGCGAAATCCAATTCGATTACGTACGGCTGTAGTAATAAACATTTATTTACTCTCATTATTTGTTATGGTCATTATTAATTTGAGAAAACTGTTTTAATTTTTTTCATTGCATTAGTTATAACTATAAATCTATCGATTCCAACTTCTATAAGAATAAAAATCGAAAATCGATAAAATTCATGACTGATTTTACAAAACCCATCCCTACTAAATTTGAAGTGAATTGTCAAACTAATTTAAATTACTTAAACACACTATAGTAATTTTGTTGTAGGAAACCTATTCAGGCTCCTAACCTATATAGTTATTTATTTGTAGGAATATTAGTAACATATGCATTGTCTAGTCTTGGTGATTATAGTACTTTTCTTGTTATGTTAATATAAAGACTTTACATACTCAGTCCTGGAAGGGACCTGATCCGGAGTTTCGAACTTGAAGGACATGCAGCGCGACGCGCAGAACTCGGGGCATTTCAGACACACTGGATACAAAATTACATATTTTTATGCTACAATAAATCATAAAATGATACTATGTTACTCCGATCGTTTATTATATTCTTTATGACAGATCGTGGATACCAGAACATATCTTGGCATAATTAGACCCATTGTAGACAAATTAAACCTCTAAGCTGTGTCCAGCTTCTCGCATCTGCATTTACATTCCAGTCATATCTAAAATTGTGTTTGTGCGCTCTAGAAAGCCTGGATAACGCAGTAATGGTCCACAATATTAACCGCTGGACGAACAGCCGCTTGACCGGTGAGATACCATAACCGCACAGACGGCACAATTCGAGTGCGAAGTACTTAAACTTCTTTTGAACAATCTTTTTTTAATGGTAAACGAGGTCGCGCCGTTCGAGCCAGCCCAGTCGACAACAAATGGTTCTACCTTTACTGCGTGTATGTATAAAATTTTGACTCACTAGTGCGGTCGTCGCCCAGCAATAACATGTACGACTCGGTGGCCTCTATCAAAGCTACCTCCAAGGATCCGAGGAAAGTGCCAGCTGGTTCTTTATTACTCGATGAAGCTGTTAAGCAAATCGCCGTTTAGTAGCAAATAATCTGATTGACGAGAGCCTAGGAACTCCAGGGACCATTCGAATGACGTTTCACTCTTTAAAATATATCAAACAGCTATTGTAATGAAATTAATGGATCCGTGAAGAACACCCTTTGAGACTCTCTATATGGTCATGAAATTGCCTTCGTGGAGCTGACCCATTTGTGAAATAGCTGCTTTGGTATCGTTTATTTATATACTCTCTGCTTCAAACAAGAAGGAACTAAAAATATTAAGATGATTTTCTTTTAATTCACGTTAAACGTACACAAATCGTACCATATGGAATGCTCACAGCTTCAGAGAGCTTGCATCCTCTACAAATACAACCAAAATCCTTGCAGAGGCATTTTTTAATGTTCGCCATATCAGGCCATTTCAATAATTTAGCTTCCGTTTTAGGAATCACCTGAAATTTTATCATGCTTATTTAGCTTGCATCAAAAAAAGTGTTATTAAATAAGTTAGCTACACATTAAAGTCCACAGAAAAAAGGAATTTAATTAACTTACCGGTTCCGAATATTCCGCACTTTCTTTTGGGCTTTTCATTTTGTAAATAATATTTCTGAGAATAACATTAATATCTTGCGACGCACATGACACTGGTGTGCCAATTTTTCTTTCATATTGCTCTCTGAACCAGTCCTGGTCATCCTCGGGCACTGCCGGCTTCGAGTTCAAATGGCTGGCCGATGCCTTCCCGCTGGGTCGGGGACCCGGCGACCCCTCCCCTCGCACAGTATAGGTCAATGTACTGCTTTCGTCTTGGTACATTATAACTTGATTGTTTTAAGTAAACTGTAATCATTTCGATTTGTTTGTACTTGGTAATAGCTCTATAAAACCACCGAACATTATTTAAAAATTAATTAATAACGATATAAAAGAAATTTTCCGAACTTGTAAAATAATCAAGTAATGTTTTTTTGGTTGATAGATTTTGACAATTCTATTTTCGACTTGCTCTGTCGTAATTAATTTTTTAAGACCTTATTGATATCATCCATGTTTTAGTTCCAAGTGAAACTTTTCTTGTTGATATTTAATTTCTTGATATATACCAAGTTTGAAGAGAGTATTTATTTATTTCTTTGAAGAAAATAATTTAACGCGATATTTTTATTAAAGTATTTCGAATTTTCTTCAAGTATTTTGTATGATACCGGTATCTTGCGGTGCCGGTGTCTTTATCTGGCAGCTAAAAGCATAACGACTAATGTCAATGTCATTTAGACAGAAAAATAAGAAATGAACATTTTTCATTTTTTTCAGTTTCAATTGTTTACGTTTATTTTTCACATTTATTTCTGTGAAAATGTTAATTAATTATCGGTTGCAAAAACGATTACATGGTTTAAATAGACAGTAAGTTTGTTAAAAGGGCACCAACATAGTAAAGTTTACAGCTAAATTCAAAATCAAAATGGATAATATAACATACAAAAGTTATCACGTTACTTTTATGGAGAACAATGATGGAACAACTGTCCTGCATACATTCTTTCGTGTACTTTTGAGTGTTCAGACGGCTTTACTGTCTTCTATTCGGCCGATGTTCGCTGAACAGGAACAATACGCGTATGAATATGTTTCTATAATACTATCTATGATAACTGCCCACACTGTATTCGTTGATCAGTTGTACATGATAAATTTTGTAACATTTTGCTTTATTGCATATGAATTTTACATCACCAATAGTATCGAAGACATTTGCAAAGCATTGACGAAGCTAAACAATGTAAGCACTGCCAAAATTCAAACTATAACATTCCTGCGCGGCCTTACATACTTAATTACTGTGTTTTGTATCCTTGCTGTGGACTTTCAAGACTTTCCAAGGTATTTAGCTAAAACTGAGAGATATGGCTACAGTTTAATGGACACTGGGGTTGGTTTGTTTGTTATTATGAGCGGTTTAGTGCATAAAGATGCGAATAGAAGCAACCTTTGGTCTATAATAGTAAGTAATGCAAAATTTCTTACTGTACTAATTTCTTTAGGTCTAGTGAGATTTGTAACTATCAAACAACTAGATTATCAAGAGCATGTCACAGAATATGGGGTACATTGGAATTTCTTCTTTACTTTGGCTGTTTGTAAACTGTTTTCATCTATTATACTCAATTACACTAAGAAACCGTTATTATTGAGTTCATTAATACTTATTTTACATGAAGGCCTATTGTATCTCGGGCTACAAGATTGGGTGTTTGCTGAAAATGATAGGGTATCTTTGCTTGATGCTAATAGGGAAGGTATTGTGTCAAGTTTGGGTTATGTCTCTATATACCTTTATGCTGTTTATATCCGATCTATCTTCCATAACAATTCATTGTATAGATATGAGGTTTTGAAAAAGTTTGCATTTAATATAGCTATACTTTGGGTTTTATCATTTTTTATCAATATATTCCGACCTACTTCAAGAACATTGGCTAATGCAGGCTTCTGTTTGTATGTAGAGGCAATAATAATTACCATTTCTTTGATTGTATATTTCTTTGAAGTGGTATATCAAGATAAGGAGAGAAGTTTAAGTTTCAATGTGCCTTACACACTGTTGGCTATTAACCAAAATGGTTTATTATACTTTCTTGTAGCTAATTTATTAACGGGCTTAATAAATATAAATATCAGAACTTTGTTAGTGAGCAGTTTCACAACATTTATAATACTAAACATGTACATGCTTCTTACTTTAGGATTTAATGTTTATTTGAAGAGTAAAGGTATTAAGATTTAAACACAATGTAAGGGTTTGTTTTTTATTTTATAAGTTGTCACAATTATAATTTTGTTACTAATTTGTCTTTTTTTATCAACATCAGTCCTTACTAAGTTTTCTTAAAAACAAGATTTTCCACAAATAAGTTTTTACAAAAATAAATGGAAATAAAGGGGTACAGAATTAGTTAAAGGAAATTTACAGGCATTTTTTTTTTGACTAGAAAGAAGAATATTTTTTTTTATAAAACTGTTTTCCAGTTTTAACTTACGTTTTGTTATTGTTAGTCATCAGATTTAGGTCTACAAAATTACAGATATAAAAGATGTTACATGTCTGAGCTACACATGTTTAGTTTTAGTTGAAAAGTTGTCTGTCACATTTGACTGGTGTAGGCAAAACTGAGAACAGTTAAAATTTTGCCTACATGCATCATTTTTAACTATTCAGTCAAAACTGGACATGTGCAGCGAACTATACTGTTATATTGATGTCTCCCTGATAGACAACAAAAACTATTCTAGAAATTACAAAAATATTGGGAATATGAGCATTTCATAGCATTAATCTCGGAAATCTTGCATTTAAATTATTTCATTGTACCCTCGATAGAATTCTAAAAACTAATATAAATATAGTAGTAATGTGTTTATAGTAAAGTATAAATATATTCATAAAAACCTTTCGTATATATCTAATGGTATGTATCATTGGAATGTATATAATAAAAATGTCTTAATATAATTGCTACAGTTTTGTTGAAATTTAAACAGTTTAAAGTATGTGTAAAGTCAATTATATTAAAATTAAATTGCTTTGATATAATCATTGAGCATTTTGACAAAACACTCATAAAAACTGAGCTTTGTCCAATATTCTTGTTACAGATATGATATAGTAAAAACTGAGCATAAAACAACCTTACAATGAATTTGTACTGCATTGAACAGTGGGATGTCATTTATATACACTAACAATTCTGATATATCTGAATAATTTATTTAACAACATAAATTCTTACTTGATCTAATAGTATAAATAGCAAACAAAAATCTAACGGGATGTATGAAATTATATCACTGTCTTATATAAAATATAATTCATATTATTTTATACATGATTTTATACAATATACATATTATAATTTGAATGGCTTTGTGTGCCGACCCTCCATAAGGGATAAGGGCAAGTGGATGATGAATTTGAATGGCTTTAAAACAAAAACTAATTGAGTATTAGTTCATTGTACACTGGTAATTAAGTTAATTAATAATTTGCAATAAGGGCACAGTTGCATCACTTCTCTGGGCGGGGCTACATCGGAAAACCAATCTCGACAGGGTAAAGACAAAAATGTAAACAACAAATATGATTAAAATGCCAGCATATATAAATAAATCGAGGAATCTTTGAGGAGACCACAACACCGTGTACCGTAGCAGCTGGTTGTTGCTCACTGAAACATTTTAACAACTTTAGCTCCCTACAGAATTTTAGTCCTAACAGTTTTAACCGATGAGTTGATAAGTTCAGATAAATCTTTGCATTTGAAAGCATATTTTAACTGTACAGTTCAAATGACGATTAAAATTTTGCCTACAGGCGCAGTTTTAACTGAAAAGTTTAAACTTAAAATCTATCGGGCTTTATAAATGAAATATGTACAAATCGCGGCCTGAAACTAACATATGGGTAAATGTATGATGTAAGAGGTTAGAGTATGCAAGGCCCCTACTAAATAAGTCTACACCTTTATATAGATGTGCTCTATCTAGAAGTTTCTTATGGCCAATCTAAATGTCTTTAGCTTACCTGTAGCAACACCATAACCGATGCGATTAGTGCCCATTCTGTAGGAACATGTAGGTACATATATCTCATATAGGTCACCATCTCTACCCACACTCAGGACATCGTCATCCAGTTGGAGCGCACGGCCCGCAATGTTCCTCAACTCTTTGTCTTTTATGATGTACTGGGATTTATGTTCATGAGCGCAGAAGTAAATGTTAGGTTGAATTGCATCATTTACCTGAAAAAGATTACATTTTTATATAAAACATAAAAGTTATTAAAAGGTATATATGACAAAACTTCAATTCATTACATGTTTTTAATAAGCAAAGCAAAGTAACACAGCAATGTTCTACATTTCTACTGAACTCATTATCATAGACTGATATTTTTAACTAATCAGTTTAATCTGATGGTATGTAAGCAAAACTTTAACTGAATGGTGCAATGTACAAAGGTTCAAACAGTGGTAGTGCCTGCTTTAACATCTTAGCACGAATGGGCCTGCACGCCCGATGTGATACCAAGACCACACAGAAGACAGGCGTGAAATGGGAGCAATTCCGTGTTTCGTCTGATGAGTGTGGTGCTGGAAGCGTAATTTAAATCCCTTTCTCTTTACCACCCTTTTCTTATAAGGAGAGGATGGGAAGGGGAAGTAGATTTGACGGTCGAGGTCAAGCATAAGAAGGGGAAATATCCTCTTTATTTGCATCTCTTCCTCTGTTGGATAAGGATAGGCAACGCCTCTGCAATTGCGGATGTCTATTTTGGCTTAATCAGGTGACCACCTGCTTGTTTGCCACCTTATGTTATAAAAAAAACTGACAGTAAAACTTTGCATACACATGACTGTTCAATTCAGTGTTCAGTTAACAGTGAATGTATGCAGCTTTATATTAGGTAAAATAAGTGTACATGCATATTTAAATAACAAGCTTACCTGTTTGCCAAAAACTGTTTTCCATAGAACTGGGTAATGTGAAACAACAATTTTGTAGTTATCATCATCAGTGCCATGCGGGTAGGTGTATGTGATTCCATTCACTTTAAAGAATGATATATTCTTGTAGGTGATAATGTCTGGCTGGTTAAACACTGCTTCGAATTCCTTCACCTTATCACTTTGGATTGGTTCATGTTCACCACCTATATCATTATCTCCAGGCAACCAAACTTGCTGGAAAAATGTGACTCTTTAAATTTAGAAAACAAATAAAAATGGTAGAACATCAACTGTTGCATAAAATCTTCTACAAGCATTGTTTTAATGGAACTGAATCATGTGTAGGCAAAATTTTAACTATCAGTTCTGTATTTTTATAGTTGAACCGACACAAGCACAGTTTTAACTCTCCAGTTTATTTAACATAGCAAGCTTAAGATTTGCTTTCAGAAAGGGTATGAAAACAAAGTATAAGCACTTACAATAACAGGATAAGAAACTTGGAATATGTTTGATAGTCGCTTAACATAGCCATGGAATTGTTCCATAGTTGCTATTGAACCTTCATCCATGAGGTCTCCCAGATAAACTAACACATCTGGCTGGAAATACTTCAGTGCAACAGCAAAGGTGGACCTCAAGTACCTAAAATCCGCCTTAAATATAGACAAACATATTTAGTAACTTTATTATTCTATTGTAGATAGCAAATTAATAATAGTAATATAAAAACATTAAGCATTAGAATAAACATCAATATCACTTTGTTTAACTTAAGTTAGTTATAAAATAAGGACCATTTTGGTAGTTATGATCCTTATAAATCCAGACACCTTCAGAGACACTCAGTTCTGATAGTTCTAATTGTACAGTCAAAACTTTTAACATATATTGCACTGTACAATAAATATTTTCATCTATACACCCAGTTTTCACACAAAAGTTCAACTGTTTATTTAGATCTGCACCATATTTAGTGGTCTTAAAACATATTTATAAATAAACAAAAAGGAAACTAAAACAACAAGAAAATAATATGTCAAAAATAATCTGAAATGTGACTGCGCACCGCAATACAGCTGCGGTTACTGGATTGCTCTAACACACACATTAAACCGAGAAAGACATCAAGCTTTGAATAATCAAGTATACAATGAAGTATGATTAACAGGAAATAAAACAAATTATATAGCCATAGTAACAAATACAGACATGCAAATAATACCTCTAATTGACATTATTTTTGTTGAAAGTATCTGTTGCAATGAAGTATCAGGTATGTGGCTGCCATCCCCTATGTCCGATAAAATGCAGTTTGTGAATTTTGTATGTGTATTGTGTAATAAAAATTATATTTGTAAAACAGATATATTAACACATTCACTGCAACAAGTTCACCTCAATAAGAAAAAATTACAGTTGCTTTGACTGTGTTAACATAAAAGTATGTGATAAATAAAAAATGTCACATCAAAACTCAGCAATAGGGACGATTACTATGAAATTATTAACATATTAAATATTATAGAAGTTTGTTATACCTATCACTATCCCAGTTAAAAAGGTAACTCAACGGCGGCGACACCGCGGTATCGCCTTGTATCTGAGGGTCAGCTATAAACATTATCTTCGTACAGGACAGGTTATCTTTTGGACAGCTTAAGTATTTCCAGCTAATTGTTTGTATATGATATACGAACAATTCATTATACAATACAGATCCAATTACCGCTGCTATGAAAAATTTCGGTGCTGCACTGCAATGTTAAGAAAAGGCTTGTAAGATAATGTTAATGAATTATAATCATCTAACAGTTGGGAAATTCTAGTTACCTTCGCCTTCGTAATAGCATTTTGTTTTATTTTGAGATCGATATCATTACTATGTAGTAAATTATGAATATACAGCTATGAGGTATTAAAAATATAAGGGATCAGAAGAAGATTATTAAATAGTTTCGTATAAAATAAAATATGTTGACAGTTGTCATTTAGATAATTTTTGAATTTTTGATAACAAAACAAATTCCACAGATAAAATTAAACTGATGTCAGCGCAAGACACGTTCATTTTCCATGTCGATCTTTTTCTATTAAAACATTTTTATTTTATTTATGAAAATTGCCGACACAGGTCCTTTTCCGATGATCAATAAGCAACCAATAACTCTAATAAATATTAAATTGATTAGTTCTCAAAACTTTCACATCGCAATAGTTTATGAACTAACATTATAAGTGCGAAGAATAATTAAATAATAAATAAATTGATTTATGGATGTTTGTTATTACGTATCTCCAAGATAGCGCAATGGATCTCCATGGAATCTTGCTGTAATGCAGTAATATAAATGTAAAACATAATTGAAGAACATGTAGACTAATAATCATAATCAAGTTTTTGTAATTCCGCGCGAAATGTTTCACGAGCGTAAGTAAAATAAAAATATATCAGTGCCTTAAACAAATGTTTAATTTTATTTCAATTTAAAAACCAAAGAGGATACAAAACAAAACAATGAGGCGCGATAATGTGAGCAGTGGTGAAAAATTTTGAACGCACCCATTTATATTTTCGAACGTTACTGTTGCGGCGGTTTGACAGGTCAGCCTCGAGCCTCTTTTTAGCTTCTCGAGTAGCGTATTTTAATTTTATTTTATGTTATCATTTTATTTACGCGTAATATTTAATATGTATGTAGTAATTATGGTAGTGTAGTTTGTATTTTAGATTTTTTATAAGTGCACTTACAGTGTTACATAAACAGTACGTCGCCAATCGTGTCGGCAAGCCGTATGTATATACCTAGGCAATACGTCAGTGAATGAATGTTGGCTCTAGATAATGGATGTTGATGCACCTAACATATTGAAAAGGAGCAGCAGCGCACCTCTAATCAATGAGGCAGCCTCCACGGCAGTCACTTCACCCACGACGAATACAGCGCCCAGGTAAAGTAGTCTCACCTCCCACGGGATTGCAGTTTCGATCATTTGTGTATTTTTGACAGCTGCTGTGGTCGTTAATAAATGCCTTACCCATACCTAGATTTATGTTTTTGCGACGTTTAATATTTGAGTCGTAATGTTTAAACTTGCGCATATTTTTGCGTTGTACCATGTATAGTGTATTCATGAAAATTTTCTTTATATTCAGATATGAGTAGATTCGTCGGCTTGTCAGCGTTTTGAATTGCAAAGCAGATTTCATTTCTATTTCAAAACGATCCATATGATTTATGGCACTTTAATCTATTTAGTCTTGCATGTCTAAACATTTTTATATCAAATGCATGTATAATTTTTCAACAATTTGGAAATGCGTGTTTGCTAATTATGTCGGCGTTTCAAAAAATGACATGGTTAAAGGTCAAGTTATAATTTTAGATATGTAAAATTATTTATGAGATGTCAGTAATGACATCAGGAATACTACTACTTGCATTAACAAGATGAAGAATAAATGACATGAGTAATATTAAACAGCTGAAAGTTATTTTGATATTTGTATTGAAAATACATATAAAATGCTCATTTTATAGAGAACATATACATACTTAGTCCATAGTACCAAAGTGACACAAAAAGAAAAACTCTATTGAGCTGTTTTGTCATAAATTACTTGTTATCATTTGCGATACAAGCAGACATTTGAAAATCCCTCAAATAGACATCAACTTGTATAAAATGCTCCGTCTATAAGTTATAATCTAAGGTTAATATATTAATCAAAAAGGTTCAGTAAGGTGTGATTGAAGAACAAACAAAAATACTACATAGCCCAGACCTCTAGACTTGAAGGTCTTAACACATCTCCCTCATCGTCTACAGTCATATATTAGATACTAGCTTTCACCCGCGACTCCGTCCGCGTGTGATTGAAAAAAACAAAAGTAAATAGCCTATGTGTTCTTCCAGACTTTCCTCTACATCTATGTTAAATTTCATCAAGATGCATTTAGCCGTTTAGGCTACAAACTCAAACAAACATCCATCCATCCATCTATCTAAACTTTCATATATATAATATTAGTAAGATTATGGTGAATGTATATAAAAAAAATTGTAGTTGCTGGAGTAGAGATTAAAATGTGAATCTAGTCTTTGTACCAGCGATAAGGAAAATGCATGGACAGGAAATTGCATAAAACAATTTTTAAACAAGAATAAAAAATCTTAAATATTGGTTGAATATCATGTCAATCGTATAAGTGATATTCTTAGCTCCTTATGATTTTTCTAGTAAAGTAGCCAAGCAAGAACAACTAATGCATACTTATTATGCAATAAAGTAAAATCATTTCAAATAAATACAGAATTAAGAACATCCTTAGGGGAAGTTGACACATGAGAAGGGACCACTAGTAATAAATGTGACACAATCAGGTTGTTAGTACTTGACTCCATTGGTAGTTTATATACTTTGTTCAAATATTATTGAACTAAACAATTATTGTAATGTGACAGTGTTTAGGTTATTGCCTGTATTGTGTTTGTGGAACATGAATGTGTTTTGTTTGCAATTTTATTGAACTGGCCACACTGAATTATTTATTTATCAGTCCTAGTTTTTATTTGTATGTATTAGTCTGAATTGAATTGAAATGTTTGATGTATTTTGATTTAGATAATATTTTGTTTGTTAACTATATTTCTTCTGTATGTGTATTACCAGTGTTTTTATATCATAGTCAGCATTATATGTTTTTTTTTTGTCAACAGTTCAGTTTATTAAAGTTGCTTAATTAAATGTGTGCTGAAAGTGAGTTCAAGTATTAAGAAGGAATCTGTATTGTAAGTGATTTCTGAATTAACCAATTTTTTTTTTAATATACGCACCAAATAGTGTGTTAATTTGAATTAAATAAATACAAGGGATAACTAACTACATTTTTAAACGATTGAGCTGTCAATTACTAAATTAACTGGTGTTGTAGACAAAATACCATTCATCATCATCATCATCATCACCAGCTCACTATATGTCACCACCGAGGGGCTTGGAGCCTACCCTAATAAGGGGTGACTAGGCCATAGTTAATATAAATCAAAATACCATTGAGATCTTTAAATTCATCTATAAAATTTACATTGTATATTTGCTGGCGTTTTATGGTGACTCAACTGCAATAATGATATGTTAAATATATGGTTGTATAATTATTGTAAGTGTAATGTATCTTGTTTCAGAAGTACGTCATTCTTCAGCATGTTCTCGAACAACAACCTGTCGCGTACGCGTCGGCATAGCGGCAGCTCGAGCCCACACTCCGCACCTATTAATTTGTCCGTGAGTACTTATAAACGGCCAACCAGTCTACTTATCTGTAAATGTATTAGTTTATAAGACTTCTCTCTGTTACTGTTAATTTATAAGACTTCTCTCTATATTACAAAATTCATATCATTCATATCATAAAATTGGTAAATGATTTTTGATTTAGACGCAAAAAAGTTGGACTGCTACCAATGCAGATTTGCATATGAGATTATGGGTGTATGTCTGTGTCTGTCAGTTTTTGTATGTAGTTTTGTTTTTAGAGCGTATGGGGACGGCGCATGACTCCCCGAGTGAGCCAGCTGCGTGCAGAGGAGTGCGCAGACGTGAGCAACACGCGCGAGGTGGCGCACGAGCGCGAGGTGCACTGCGCCATGCAGATGGGCCAGTCCTGCGAGGACTTAGCTCTTGCCGCCGGCGCCGGCGCAGCGCACTCGCCCACACGACTCGCCAGGTCAGCACACAACACATCTCACTTATTTAAGTCTATACTCACTACTTAGTTATGTAGGATGTCAGCATAGTATATTTTTGAATAATTAATTTTTAAATTAAAATTACTACATTTACGACATGCTGTAGGCTATATATTTTCACTGTATTATACTTAGGGGTAAGTAAATTTGAATAAACTTATATGTGAGAAAGAGACAAAAACTACAAGCTGACAACATTAAAGAAGCAAAGTTGCCATGGTAACAGTAATCGTTATCCATGTCAAAGGTCTTCGTGACATTTGTGCATTTGCAATTGTAAATTAGATAAATGTAAACAATAAAATAAAGCTTTTATATTTTGATGCGGATGAAGCCGCAAGGGAACAGCTCAGTCAAACAAATCTGTATTTTGAGGCCTGATTATAAATTGTAAATTTCAGATTTTCCCCGGTAGTGTCACCATCGCCGACGCGGAAATATACGACGCGACGGAGTCTTTCTCCAATAGCGATCCGTGCGGCAACTCTGAGCCCGGTGAGCCGGCCCAGCGCGCTGGGGGGCGGGGGCGGGGGCAAGCGGCGCTGGGACGAGGGCGAGTCGCCGCTGCCCAAGCGCATGTGCACAGACAGACTGACGCCCTCCACGCCCGGCACGCCCGGCACTCCGGACTCCGACCTCGAATGCACCTTCAGGCCGGTGTCGCCGCGGCACATGCACGAGGCGCAGGACCCCGCACACAAAGCCACGCCCAGCTAATAGTATGTACACAATGACCGTCTCAAGGCTGTGGAGTTTCTTGTATTTGTTCATGTCCGTCTCCTTCATTTTGACATTGACTAAACAAAGATTTTGACCGATTAATTTGTCACGCTTTTATAGCATAGCGTCTAATCTAGTAAGGATTTCTTTGAATATTAATAGATTGACCCATCTTGAAAATGATTGTTCGCTTTTTCTACCTGTCTCTTACAATCTCCTGCTTTAAAGTAATGAATTTTGTTTTGTTTGTATGTAACAGATAATTATCTTAACGGTCTACATTGATTGTTTTTATCATTTATTTTGTTAAATTCCAATTATCAATATTACATTTGGATTAACAAGGATTCATAGAGTATTTTTGTGTATTATAAAAATGGGCTTCCATAATATTGTTACTATTTAAACTTTATTTAAAACATGTAATTGGTTTTAAATGGCTTAAGTTCGGTATGTTATTTTGATGTCCCATAGCCCGTTGTGAACCAAATACAGATGCCTCGATTGTAGCGATGACGAGGCGATAGTTGTAGCCATTGTGAACCTTATGTGAATACATTAAGGTCGTAGTTTCGGTGCATTCGTGTAGTCTACATTTAGTTCCTAGTAGAACTTGAGTACCGTAGCGTAGTGCGGGCGAGTGCGCTGTTCATAGCCAAAGCATGAAAAACTTTATATTGTAAATATTTAGTAGCGTTCGTGTATTGAACGTCTTATTGTATATACTTAGTTTAAGAACAATCGTAGCCATTAATTTAAACATTCGTGTTCATTGCGCTCCCGATTGTAAATTGATTTATGATCTATTACTTGCCACTGTTTGACAATAGAATATTTATACAGGGATCTATGGTTTTTATTTTTTTCATGTGGCAACACTTTTACTTGTAAAACTGGCTGGTTAAATGACAATATTGAAAAAAAAAAGATAATTGGAGGTATTGTCACATTACATTCGTTTGATTTAATTTTGAAATTCTATTCATTGTATTGTATAATCGAAATTATTGTAGATTTCATATCATAAGAATGATAAATTATACAAAAGGAAAGATTACATGGGTTGACTTTTAACTACAGTCAAAAGTATCCAAAATAATTGAGTTTTCTTGTTTAAATTGTTCCAAAACTTTCATTATTTAGTATGCTTAAGTAACTTGCCATTAAAATGATGTTTAAGTTATATTTATGTCTGGTTTCTAGAAGACATTTCTATCTTTGACCGACTTCCCAAAAGACCGTACTCAATTTGTTTGTATGTCTTTTTTAACACAATGTTAAATTATTATCAGATTGATTACAATCAAGTTTACTTTTTAGTAAATCAATTTTGGTTGAAACAATTAGATTCTTATACATATAAAATTGGACTGTCGGTTGTAATATTGAAGAAAAAATGTTTCTTGAACATTGTTGATAAAAACCAATTATTAAAAATATTGTGTCTGTCCGCAAGTCCACGTAATCTCCGAAACTTTGGGGGAGAGATGAGAAGGGTAGTCTTTAAGAAACCAGTCATAAGGTCATTTACAGCCTTAAATAAACGCGGTATAAATTTAAACCTAGGAAAAAACTGACTATAGGCAAAACTTGTACTAATATTTGCTTACTCAGTTTATTCCTAAGTTTATCTTTATACCGCGTTTTTGTAGGGCTGTTAGTCTTTTGTTCAGAGTATTTTATATTGTCTTCTTATTTTTATTGATCTACAGTTTTAAAATTGATTATAGCTCTTTAGTTATCATAATTTTGATTCATCATACATTAAATTCATGTTTTTAATATATAAGAATTAATATTACAGTGCCAATTTATCGGAATTACCTTTATCTTTGTTAAATTGAAATAGTTTTTGAGACTGGCAAAAACTATTTGAAATAATTTAAAAGCTACCTCAATACATGAGTTGTCTTAATTGTATATTTATTATTCTTATGGAATTATAACAATATATAATGTACGCATTGTGATGTATTTGTATGTTTTGTAAATGTGTATAAAGCGGCCCAGGGGAATAGGGAGTTTCCTATTGGGACGAATTGAATGGGAATAAATTCCAATGGATCGATTGATCGGTCCAACGGGAAACATCCGAAATGTAGGGTTTTGTATTACCTCAGATACACTGATGTGAGCTGTTATGATGCATTTGATTTATTATAATTTGTACATAATGTATTCAAGTTGTATGTAGGACAGTGCGGGCTGCATAGTTCTTGTCATCTTTAAAGTTTTGTTATTGTTTTGATGATTTCGAACTAAAGTGAATATGATATCAAAATCCATAATAAGAAGTTAGAATATGCTCAAATAATATAAGTGTAAATGGATTTTTTTGTCTTTGTATAGCAGTATTGATTTTTCATAAATTTGTTGATATTTAAAAAATGATATTGTTGATTTCGTATTCACTTTAGAGGTCTCGCTTCACCCACCCAAAAAGGTTGGCAGAACTATGTCCAGTGGTCGCTGTACTCGGCCGTCAACTGCGCGTACCTACATCTAGTATAGGTATTATTTTGTAAGTTTTGTATGTATGGTCGGAGGCCCGTAAATGTCGCTTCTGGAATTACCATTTTGTTTTAAAGTGTGATTAAATCACATTACGACGTAACTTTCGTTTTATTTCCTTTAATACTGGTAGGAAAACAAACTAACGTTGATATTCTCATTGGAACAACAATCTCACAAATATTATAAAATCGAGTAGTATTCGCACCTCCGTATAAGCTGATAGGAATCAAAGTGCGACTAAACAGTTGTGCGATAGTTTAGTCAAAGATGTACACGCGCTCTTCTAGTATTAGCTTTCGTTAGCGCGGGTGCTTTTTTAACGTTCTCACTTATACGAACGCTTTAAATTTATCTTATTTCGTTAGCAACAACGCTTAGAATGCAACATAGTAGGAACTGATACATGGAAATACAATTAGATCTATTTGAAAGTTTTTTAATGCGCTAAAAAAATAAAATCCCGTGCGAATGTTTGATTTAACTTTTGTAGACAGAGGATAATTTGTGTAAAGGATAGTGAGAAATAAGGAGACAAAGTACCAAACCAAAATCACTTTTATTTACACCTGAACAGGTTTACATTAATAATGCTATTTGTATAGACGACAAACAATATAATGAAATAATAAACAGTTATATTAAAAGTCGAAATTATTCTAAAACTTACAAATAGAGAACAACGTTTATAACATTCCAATATTTTGTACTCTTTAAAATGTAATAAATTACAAATAAGACGACGGAGAGATTCCGTCTCGCAATAATCATATCAATTAATAGTTAAATTATTACAAAATCCATTAGCAATAATAATTACAATTAAAATGGTTAGCAAAGTTTGCTACAATACATGTCATATCAAACTGTTCCGCGAACGCGCTTTCACACAACAAAATCAAACCAAATTCATATTGTATCATTAAATAATCTCTGATCTTCAAACAGTGAGTCAATATTTTCATATGAATTATAAAAATACTACGATTAATTTTCCAATTTGAATGTATGTTTTATTATGACATTGTTAATAAATAAATAGGCGGGAGAATTTAAAATATTATGCATTCGAAACAGCAAGTTAAATAACGTAGCAATATTAGCTAACGGAGGTTATAGAAATGATTTGGTCTTTTTTGGTACATTTAATATGGAAACTTTGTTTCTCTAGAGGATGAAGCCTCGAGTCTATTCGGTGGCGGCCATTACGTATGGCTCAATTTACGTTCACACACAACGTTCCACCTTCACAAACACAACACACAATATAAATTATTAAATGCAAATGGCAATTTACGTTACACGCTTTTATTTTAATTGGTCCATTCCGATTGTAGTCCCATTTCGTCCAATCTACGATATCGAAAGTATTACGATATCAACAGTAAAAATGCTCCCTATCTCAATAGGATCTCAATCTTGAACAAAAATTTAAGTTTTTTTGCTAGACCATTTTTTTTATTAATTTAATGTTATTGCTACTTAAGCTAACAATCTCTTACTTCAGAAAGTCTTTGCGGGATTCCTAACATTTTACTAACATACATCAAATTATCAATAACATTACAAATCTACAATTATTAATTTAATTAAGTTTCTTACAGTTTATACCTATTGTAGTCCGTGAAACTAAAGCGCACAAGCGGCATCTCACATTGAATACAACTGTTTTATGAAATTAATTAACAAATAGTTCCTCGATCCAGAAACCGTCCAACATACAAGTGTATAAATACATTGTGAGTGCACATTAACTAATTAGGCTAATTTAAGTAATTGTTACCCACCTGAGTGCAGTGTGGTAGTCTTGGGCTTAATCGGACATCTGCAAGTGCGCACCGTGCTAGTACAATTGGAAAAATGTACTAGTACACACTTTTAGTACCTTCAGATTTGTGAGAACACAATAACATTAATAGAATATAACGAGTGTTACAGATTACTTCACATCAAATTTTAAGCATAGTTAAAAATATGTTATTATCGTAAATAAATTTTAGTTATAAATGGTTTTATCCACTTTTGATTCTGATTACCGAAGGTGGATGCTTCAATCTGGCAAATATAGAACCAAATCAAACAAGAAACAGGCGAACACCTATATCATGTAGTGTACAAAAAGTGCCAAATGTCCGATTTACAGAAGCCATTCGGTAACGTTACTTTTAGTACAGTGCCGAGTAACATTACTTTTTAGTACATCGTACGTGTACTACCCAAGACTACGGTGTGGCTCAGCTGGGGCGCGGTGCGGGGCTGGCAGCGAGGTCGCAGTCCGCCACCAGCGGCAGCTTGGCCACCTCGAAGAACGTGGTGTGCGAGTACTTGTTGCGCACGGTGCTGATGGCCGACTTGGGCTTCTTGTGCAGCGCCGCGTTCTGCGCCAGCGCCACCGGCAGTATCTCCTCTAAACTGTAACCTGCGACATCAATGTGCTCTCAATACATAGACAAAACAATTAAATAAACACCAAATACAACACATGCATGCAGAATATATGGCACAGCAGAGATTACTGCAACTGGATTGGTACAAGATATCCCTTTTTGTTCTGCTTTTCGGACGAAAAAGGATTTCTAACTAGTAACTTCTTTCCACTGTCAAGGAAAAGTTTTTTTTTTCGAAATCACGGACTGTCGTCTTGTCAGTTCCCGCCTTATGGCTGTAGAATACTAGGCTCTAGTCATTGCGGCCATTATGGTTAAGCTAAGAGGAATCAGGGTTGGCATATGACTGGCCCACTTGGAAGTCGCTCAGAGAGACTTCAGCGAGTCAGCCCTGAGGAGTTGGCTGCAGAGCCCCCATGTATGAGGAACCGAGGTCCGTGTGTATGATACCTGTGTAGTACTGCAGCGCCGGTGTCCAGGAGCCGAGCGACTTGATGCGCAGCGCGATGTAGAGCGCGGCGGCGGCCATCTTGCTGTCGGAGTGCGCCACCAGCCCGTACTCCAGCAGGCACTGCTCCAGCACGAACCGCGCCAGCGTCAGCGTCGGCATCGACACGCGCGCGCACTGCAACAGCAGTCACAGTAAGTCAGTTTAATGCCAGTCCAGTTACTGTCCAACTGTACTAGACGAGTGTGAGCCAGAGTTAAATCGTGAAAGACTTTCAAGACATCGTATGACTACTCTAAAGCTCGAGAAGATTCTCAAGGAATATTTTCCAGTATTTTATTGCTTTTCTATGGTAGTTTTCATGATTTTTTCAAAGTCTACACAGACTGATTTCTTTTTCGTTTTCAAGGAATAAAATTAATAAGTTGTGTCTAGTAGTTAATGAGGACACTGCACTCACCCTGGCGTACCGCCTGAGGAAGCTGTAGGAGAGGGGGATGCCGAGGTCGAAGTCCACCACCCTGAGGATGGTGATCTCCATCTTGAGCAGCTGCGCCAGCGTGTACGCGCCGTCGCAGATGTACAGGAAATCGTCCACCGTCGGCGGAATGCGCTCCTGCAACCAACACACGACAACAGTTTACAAGACGATTTTTACTTCATCATATCAATATTATAAAGTGGAAAGATTTGTAGTTTTGTATGTATTGTAATAGGTCAAAAACTACATGACCGATTTTAAAAGTACTTGCACCATTAAAAAGGTGTTAACATAGGCTGTGTTTCTACTATTTTATTTTTACGCGGCGGATGTCGCCAGCAACAGCTAGTTTAATCATAAAAAAAACGAGACGAAAATATATTTCGCAGGTTTAAAATCTATTACGAGAAAAGTAAAAAAATGTCTGTCCTTTTACTGCCATAGCGGTTTTTTTTTGTATTAATCATTCCAATAAGAATTTTGCATAGACTAACTAGATACAGAACAATCAATATATAAATTCTCACATCAAACTTGGAGGCAATGAAGAGTGCGGAAGCTCCCAGCAGCTGCAGTTCTTCCTTAGTCAGAGGCTCCCTCGCCGGCTTCATCTTAGTGGACCTGGTGAGGAAGAGGTCCACCAGCTTGACGGCCAGGTAAAGCGTCTCGTGGTTCAGCTCAAAGCTCTCCTGCACCTCCACCATCCAGTCCACGAGGAGTGACCTCATCCATGCCGAAATGTCATTTAGTCGTTGGAGGTAATCATCAATGGGGAACAAACGCTGGAATAACAAAACAACGTTTTTAATTTAAAAGAAATAGTAAATGTTTACAAGATATTCTATATTCATGTCTTTGATGAACATTTTATTTGGACTTCATAACTTAAGTTCCAATTAGTACCAGTAACCGTTAACTTACATTCTTATCAAGATCTGTAACATTTTAAATTTATTTGACCAAAAAAATGTTTAAATCCCCAGTCCATTCCATTAAAAACAGTCACTCTAGAGTTACTTTTGGTGAACTTCAAGAAGGGTATGGGTAAAAAAAAAACAAATTTGTTGAGCACATATGCATATATGATTGTGGAATAGGCAAATAACATATGTTAGGACTGTTACAAATAAAAGCATAATTTTTGTTAGTCATGTGTGGTATGAAGAGAGTAATGACTGAAAAGATGGAGGATCAACCTGGATGACGAAAACCTGATCTGCTTAAGGGAGTATGATATGGAGATGATGAGTTATGTATTCTCTGTATCTCACCTCCCTAGTCTTCAGGTAATTGAAAATATCCATGGCGTAGTTAGCGACCTGGAAGGGGTCGTTCCAGTTCTCGCGGTCGATGTCAGCGACGCCGTCGGGCGCACAGTGAGGCTCCTCACTCTCCTCGTCTAATGACCTGTTTAGTGTCTCATCGAGGTTCACCTTGTTCAGCTTCTCACTGATTGCTTTGTATTCTTCTTTTGTTATGTCAGATGGAGTTCTGGAAATTATTTAACTGTTGGGAGGACATTTCAGCAAAATACTTAAAGTAATAGAATAAAATTAGTATCTCCAAGTAATATTTTTTTCATGATTTTTCTAAATGCTTTTTGATCATCACTTGTTATTAATGCTTCATCTGCTAAGACTATCTCTATTCTGGTAAGAATGAAAGCTGTGGGATATATCCCAACTAGCTAACCCAACTAGCTAACAAGCTAATGAAAGCTGTGGGATATATCCCACAGCTTTCATTAGCATTCAGGAGCAATAACTCAAGAAATGTTGATGAGAAAAATTTTAAGTTAAACTTAAGTTTCTTAATGTTAAAAGTTCTAACCATAAAACCGCATAAACACAACAAAAGTTTTATATTGAATATGGACCAATATGGTTGGAGATTAAATATTTTTGCAATGACAACTTGTGTTGATAAACAATGTGTATGGAAATGTCAAAAAGGATGAGTCAGAATGTGACAAATTAAAGCCAGTTTAATATAAGTGGCCCTTGAAAATGAATGTGAATTTTGTTTTTTGGAATGTCAAATTTTGGCATTGTCCATTTTGTGAAATGGAGATTACATTTTTTGGATGGGTAAAGTTGCAAATTGTTATAACCTGAACTATAACAAAATAATATAAATAAATTCTGAAAACACTAACATATTTTCCAAAGCAGTAACATATAGGGACGGCTCTCCAGACACATCACTTCTGCCAGATTTTGTTGAGTTCTGGCTTTGGTTCTGTTCTTTGTTTTCATTGCCAATAGATTTTCTTTCAATGTTCTTTAGTATTCCATTTTTAGCCCGTGTTGCAACCGGCTTAGGTGGATCCTTAGTAAAATGTTTCTGAATTGATTCCAAGGCATTTGTGGCTGCCTTTTGAATTTGTTTACTTTTGGTTGTTTTGTTGTTGACTATAGTTGGCTGGGGTTTGATGCTCTAAAACATAAGTAATTCTTGGCATTAAGATGAAGAATTTGATATGAACTTGGCATCATTTATACACTACACTTGAATATTGCTTTATTTAATGTTTGTATTAAATTAGTAAATAGTTCCTATCTAAACATCTGACCACTACAAAGTTAAAATATAGCTTTGTTATTAATAATGAATTATTAGAACAAGCAAAACAAGCTCTCTAGACAGAAGGAGCAACCATCCAAGTTTTTTAAATTACTCACATGTTAAAAATTTATGCAGATATGATCATCTAGCAAAGAAATCATCTCTTAGCACATGGCCCTTTTCAGAATAATATGATGTTAAAACAGTAAATATCTTTTGGCAAATGCTAAATGCAAAAAGCTACATGCTGTCATTTTTTGGAGGGAAAGGTCATTAACCTCTAGATGTTATATTTTTTACGTAAATAAGCTGCGTAGGAGAGATGTAATCGTTAATTTGACGTCGAACAATACAAAAAAAGTATATGAAATGTAAAGTACCCACCAAAAGTTATATAATAAAAATGTTATATGTGGCACTACTAACCTTTACTGTTGGTAGCAATTTGCTTTCCACCGTTACTTTTTTCAGCGCCGAAACTTTGTCGTTGGCTGCTGTAGCCTTATTGAAGGCATTCGTAATGTCCCCAAAGGCTGCCCTCTTTGCAGTCATATTTTTCAAGGGACTATCGGCTTTCCTTTTGTTTGTAACTTTTAAATTATCTTTATATGCTTTTAGAGTAGCCATCTGCTTACTCCTCGTCGTGATACCTTGGTTCATGATGCTGTTGATGTTCTCATTGACGCCGGTCGACTTCGATGCCAACCTTGTTGGCGCCATTGTGTACCTACGAGTACACACACCTTTCTAACATCACAAATTTAATATCACCAAAGCAATAAATAATTACTGTGCTATAGTCGTTGTACAAAACATAACATTTGTAACTGATAGATAAGTTAACGATTAAAAATGGTGGCAAAACAATTGAAGATGTACATGTTTATCAACCATCATTAGAAATTAAATACAGAATTGATACTCACGTTTTCTAGACGGCGACGGCCGTTTTGTTGTAAACTTTTAACTAATTTAAAAATTTAAATAACCCTACCACTATTTGCCAATGTAAAATATTCTAAATATATTTTCCAAACGTTATTTCAACTCAACTGAAATGAACATTCTTCAAAAACCGTTGCTTCAAAATTCTATTGGCACATGATTGGCCAATGCCGAAGAAGCAGCTGAAAACGTTCTGATTTACGAAATACTTTTGTTGGCCTTTTAAAATGTTCTTAATTTGTTACAAATTATTTTAAATAATAATTAGTCGTGTAAATAATAGCCTATTTTCTGATTTAAATGAGACCATCTTGAATAGCTTGTAATCTTTGTTTGAAGTAATTTTTAGCCATGTTTTTAATTTGCATTTTCTGACTGCTGTTTGCTGTTTTGTTGTCAATGTCAAGTCTTTCTTGTCATTGTCAGTAATTTCACTTTCAAGATTATTTACATTATAAAAGTAAAATCGTATTACTTTTTATAAGCCTTATTTGTGTGTAAATATCAAATAAAAAAAAAAAACTGTGACAAGTTATTGTGTTCAATATGTTAGGTGGACTGCGGCTTAAAATATCGTATACTTACGAGAGATCTTGTTTTGCTTATATCAGTCCAAAGTACAGTACTAACAAAGAACAGGTAAATAATTACATGAGAAAATGATTCTTTAAAAAAAATTACTTATCGAATTGACAACATTATTTAACTTCTCCCATTTATTTAATTTCAGTCACAATGTGTACAAGTCCTTATAAAAGAGAAGCAGATATTCCTATGGGTGGTATTCAGTAGTAATATCCCCGAGGGTCACATTGCCTGCAATCCTATTTATTGCAAGCTTGTAGGTTTGGACGAAGGCAGTGAGGTTTTTGTCTCACCATATACTAATGTTAAGATTCTGGATGAATTATTTATTGATACTGAGAGCCCAGATGATCAAGAGATACTGGTATGACAAATCAATATTAAAAAGTATCGAATTAATATTGTGTAATATTTAATTTATGTAAACTCCTTTATCTTTTGTTATAATTCAATCCAAGTAGATTACCTAATCTTATACTTACCGTGTGTCAGATTTGTAAATTTATTAATGTTAATATAACATTTACTACGTAATTTATTAACATCTTAATATATTCGCCATTATTTAAGTCATCACTTTGTTGATCATGACACCTTATAAACATTCTATCCATCTTTTTCTAGGTTTATCTTTACCAGTGTACCTTCTATATGCTCGTATTATGCAGACCTTTTACTCTTTATTTTCTTTACCAACAATTATAATGTAACTAGGATAATTTCATTTTCAGGAGCACAATGCAGAAGTACTACAACTCAGAATACTTGATCAACTTAGACTTGTGGTCGCAAATCAAAAAGCAATAGTGTGGATATCCACATCAATGCCAATCATATTTACACCAAAACAAACTGGTATTATCGTGAATAACAGTCGAGTTGTAGTCAAAATAGATGCATTTAACACTTTTCATAAAACCATCACATATCCACCAAATCTACCTAAAGAATCTGATACAAAATTTAATAACATAGGTATTATTAATAATGCATTATTAGAGCCTTATTTAAATGTACCGAAAAGGCTGGTTTTAAGAGCTCTGCCTATAGACAGTGATGGTAAAAAGAACCTTATACATCCTTATACAGTATTTATACATGAAGATTTAATTCATGTTAAATATAAAACTTTAACGGTTATATTAGCTACTATGGAGCAAATACCTTCAATATTAAAAGAAAATGAAGAAGACAGTGATAATAGTAATTTAGATGGAATTTGTGTTGAAATAGTTCCGATTGACAATGTTGTGTTCAGAAGTTTATGTCACGAAGTTTACAATATGAATATTCCAACTGTGCTTATACCGAAAGCATTAAATTCTATTATAAATATAGAAAATGGTACTAAAATAATATTTAACATAATAGGTGATAATGTGGAGCATCCTGAACATGTAGATATTATAACATATTCGGATAAAATACAAACTGAAATTGATGTGATTGAAAAATTCAAGAAATGTGTTGTAGATAATACACATTCGGGTAAAAAGTTTCTTATAAACCACAATATGGTTAAACAGAATAATCAAATCAGTTCTGGTTATCTACAGTTTAAATTAAAACCGGATAATGTGAAGTACACAATGCTTAATTCGGAATCATTTAGACATTGTACAGTGTCAGCGAAATGTCTCACAGATTCAGAACTTTCCCTCCCAAAGCCCGTATCTAATTTGGATTATGATTACAAGAATTACTGTAGGAATATAAAACCTGTACAAAGTCTGGTTGAGAAGGTAGTGCTGCATTTACAGTTTGAGATACATAGAGAGGCTAATTTTAAAGGTGTGTCGGAAATAAAGAGCAATGTTCTTATTACTGGTGAGTTTTTGACCGACTTCCCAAAAGAAGGAGGTACTCAATGCGTCTGTATGTTTTTTTTTTATTTTTTTACGTCCGCCGCTAGTGGACCGATTTTGATCATTCTTTTTTTATCCGAAAGGTAATGCTTGTTGTTACTATTTTTATTGAATAAATCCTTTAATATTGAAATAAAATTTATAAGTGATCATACATGTTTGGTTCCCATATTTTTTTAAAATGCTTATCTTCAAAAAAAAGTACAGGCAGATCCATTAAATATACATTTATAAAATTTTAGAAACTTGTATAGACTTTAGTGGCATAACTACATATACATATTTAATGGAAGCAATCGTTTATTCATATTTTTGTCACTTTGTAGTATAAATATTTATGTAGCCGACTGTACTAATATCTGGTTTAATAATGTTTTTTTCATAATAATTGTAATATTTTTCAGGCTTAAGTGGTACAGGTAAATCAAGTTTATGTCACATAGTACAGAAGGAGTTGACCGTATGGTCTCATATACTGCATTGTCGGTCACTAAAAGGAAGGAAGGATATTCCGGAAGTGCTTGGCAAAGCTATCTTAATGTGTCAGGAGCACAGTCCCGCTGTACTGATATGTGATGACCTGGATGCATTAGTGCCGCCTAATATAGAAGGTTCTTCACCCCAGGATATAGCATACTATCAAAGGTAAGATTTGTTTATTTTTAATTTTAATTTGCTATAATACAACAAATCTAAATCCTAGACAATATTATCAATTAGTAATGCTTGTTATTATAGTATTTTTATAATTTTTAGTATTTGTAAATTGTTTTAAATATTTTTTTGTATGTCTTTTTATATTCCAAAATTTTTTAAACTACTGAAAGATTGTTTATATATATTTTTCATTTCCTCGGCTTTGCAACACATTTACGTCACATAAATATATCATTCATTAGCTTTTGCCTGCGAAATATCTGCACGAAATTAAAAAAAAAAAACAAAAGCTGATTATGTGTTCCTTCCAGTCTATGTTCTAAATCTGAACCATTGTAGATATACCTTTTAATATCCATCCATCCATTTCGCCTTTATATTAGTAAGATTGTCCTACTTTTTTCAGATTAGCAGTAGTGATAAAGCAATTACTGCAGACTTGCTCTGGCGTGTGCGTGCTGATGACGTCACTGAGCACGAAGTCCCTCCACCCCACGTTAAGACAGTTCACCGGCAAACCATTGTTTACAGCGCAGTTTGATATACCTGAATTGGAACAGGTGAGTTTTTTTTATTTTAATTTTAATCACATCTGGTGAATACCGTAGTATTTAGCCTTAAAACAGATTTGTAGTCTTTTCAAATGGTTAACACATTTCAATGAATATCACGGTCTTACCGCTACTTTTTGCCCCCTTCTCTTATAACAAAAGACAATTTAGTTTTTTTGTGATAACAAACAAAATGAAATACATATTTTTTAAAAATAGGAAGTGAAGCCAAATAATTAAAGTCTCAGTAGCAATATAAAATGCTATTGTTTTAAAAATATTTTATGCATTTTATTATTACCAGGAAGACAGGGTGGAGTTATTTAAACACTTAATAAATGACAAAATAAGGTCGTCATTCGAAGTGGACGACGATGACGTCATCAAGATGGCGATGGACACCGCCGGCTGTTCCGTCAGAGATGTCACAGATTATCTCAATAAAAAGATATTCAAGGCTGTTAAGAAAAAAAGTAAGTTAACATACAATAGGTGGATATGTAAATTAGCCGAATATAAAATACAAATATTTTTTTAAAATAACATTTGCTTGAACAAACTGTAGTTATTTAATATTTATCGTAATAAATCAAAAAAATTATAATAATTACTCTATCGGAATCCGATAACTGTAATTTTTTTATTTCGCATTTTTTATTTTATAACGTTTTTTTTTCCTCTTTCTAATATATTATTTTTATGTTAAAAGAGTCTCAATCTGATGATTGTAAGCCAAGGCTGGTAGAAGACATCACAAGGGACGAGGACAAAGCAAAAGGTTTCGATATCTGGGGTCCAGTGGGAGGTATGGAGGAGGTGAAACAAGTCCTCACCGAATGCATATTCTGGCCAATGATGGTGAGTTTCATTATGGTGATCACTTGAAATTTTCATCTTCATCATCATCATATGTCCTCACTGAGGGGCGAAGCCTACCTTAAGTTAACACTTAAACCAACGTCACTTTACAAATGTATACTCCAGTAAATGCTATCTGAACTCATAATTCTACATTTTTGGCTAATATAATTAATATCGTAAATATTAAAGCCAATATAAATTAAATAATATTTACGTGTCATTGTGACAGTATGATTACGTATTCAAAAGTCCAATTTTGTTTCTATCTCTGTCCTTCAATCATAATTTCGTATTCTCTATTTCACTCTAATTATACAAGAACCTAGTGTTCACATCTAATAACATTTTCATCGCGAGTGGTTTTCATTCTCCATACTATATCTATCTCTTTCCCTCTCCCGTATCGTTAGTACCCCGGGCTGTTCCCGTCTCAGTCGTGCGGCATCCTGCTGTACGGTCCGCCGGGCGCGGGCAAGTCGCACCTGGGCTCGTGCCTGGCGCGCCTCGCTGACGTCACGCTGCTCACCGTCAAGGGCCCCGAGCTGCTCTCCAAGTACATAGGACAGAGCGAGAAGGCTGTCAGGGATGTGTTTGACAAGTGAGTTATCACTTTACATTGGAACATTTGACAATGAGTTGACACTTTACATTGGAACATTTGACAATGAGTTGACACTTTACATTGGAACATTTGACAACTGAGTTGTCATTTTACATTGGAACATTTGACAAGTGAGTTGTCATTTTACATTGGAACATTTGACAACTGAGTTGTCACTTTACATTGGAACATTTGACAACTGAGTTGTCATTTTACATTGGAACATTTGACAATGAGTTGACACTTTGCATTGGAACATTT